AGCCCCAGTGGGACCGCCCGCATGCGTCATCCACCACCCAGCGCAGCGCTTCGTGGCCCCATAGGGAGCTCCACCGCCAGCCTCAGTGGGACCGCCCGCGCGCGCCATCCACCAACCGGCACAGCAGTTCGTGGTCTCATAGGGAGCTCAATCGAAGGCCCCAGTGGGACCGACCGCATGCGTCATCCACCACCCAGCGCAGCGCTTCGTGGCCCCATAGGGAGCTCCACCGAAAGCCCCAGTGGGACCGCCCGCGCGCGCCATCCACTTACCGGCACAGCAGTTCGTGGTCTCATAGGGAGCTCCATCGAAGGCCCCAGCGGGGCCGCCCGCCTGCGTCATCCACCACCCAGCACAGCGCTTCGTGACCCCATAGGGAGCTCCACCGAAGGCCCCAGTGGAACTGCCCGCATGCGTCACCCACCAGCACAGCACTTCGTGACCCCATAGGGAGCTCCACCGAAGGTCTCCATGGCGGCTTCGCATGGCGGCCCAGTGGCGGAGTTGGCGTGGCGGCGAATCTCGATTTCCTGTGTTTCTCCTCGTATTCGATGTATTGAGGCCGTTTCGGGCCGCGCATCCCGGGCGGGGGCCAGCCTGCTCGCTCTCTCTGCTCCGCGCAGCGGACGACCCGCGCTCGTCGCCGGGACCCCTTTGGGGCGACCGGCGCGCGTCGCGGCGTTTTCGCGGGGCACCGCGCCCGCGGCCTTGGGCGCGGGCGTGCACGGGCAAAGAGGGAGAATAAGGAAGCGGGCGCGATCCTCGCGAGAGGCGCGCCGACATGGGCGTCGACATTTATGCGCGTAGACTCACGCGCGCGCAGACTCATCCACAATCAGACTCACTCGCTCTCAGTCCCTCGCACGCAGACTTATCGTCTTCCCTCGCGCTGCGTGCTCCGCCACGCACGTCGGCGCGCCCCTCGCGCGGTTCGTGGCCCCGTGGGGGGCGCGGGCGAAGATGCTGCATATGTATGGGCCTTTCGCCAGGCTAATTTTCCTTTTCGCCGATCCCAGGTGCGTCGACTGACTAGCGAAGCGGCGGGCTCGATAGGGGGCATCGAATAGCGCATGCGGTTGCTTGCGCAGGCAGAGGGTAATGTCCAAGTCCCAATCCCTACGGGTTCCTTCGTTGAGGGGTTATTTGGTTCTTCCTGCGTCCTGGGACTTCTCGATTCGCGTTTTCTTTCCATGCGCAAGATCCCGATGTTTGGGGTGTCGCCCCTTCTTCGGCCGCGCGCGAAGCGGGCGTGCGTCGCCCAGGCTCTGCGGGTCAAGGGCCGCGGGATGCCCGGGGCAGTGGGCTCGCGGACAGTTTGCCTGGGCTGGGGGGCGCGCCCAGCTCCGGGGGTCGGCGATGGTGCCTTGAGCGATATTATATTTGCATGAGCGACGCTCTCTGTTCTCTCCCGTCTCGTCTCCGCGTCCGCGAGATGCCTTGCGGAGAAGCTGCTATTCTGTCCGGCGCGCGGCCAGGCGCCGCTGCCGAAAGGAGCGCTCGGCCGGCGCTTTAATCATTGCTGCGCCGTAAGGTTATTTACCCAGACAGCTGAAGATCGCTGAAGCGCGCCGGGTGGGCCCCGACGCTTGCGACGCCCCCTGTGGGGTTTTGTCGCGGGGGGGGGGCGGGAATGGAAGGGGGGCGCCTACTCTGTCTTTCCTCGCGCAGGTAGTTTCGACCACCGCGGCGCGATGAGGTTTCCCGCGAGAGGGCCCCGAGAGGCCCCCCAGGTCTTGCTGCCACCGGAAGTCCAAACGATGAGACGCTCGGAAACCGACGCGACGCTGCGGCTCCAGATTAGCCAGGCCCGCGCGTTGGAACGCCACGCTCGCGCTCGTTTGCAGGCGGAGGGGCGCCTGACTGCTGCCTTATGCGCAGTCTGGGTCGATCAAGGAGAGAGGGTGCGCGAGCGCCGTGAAGGTGCTGGTGGAGGAGGGGGCCGCCGCTGACGCCCGACCGCGATGGCGCGCGATGGGCGGTGCACGAGTTTACGTGAAGTTGTTTTCTGGCCCGCAGCGCAGCGCTGGAAGCGGGGCGATGGAAGCGGGGTGATCTCGCTGATTTGCCACCCGTGGATGCGCGCGCGCTTCGCGCTCTGTTGCCCCGTTGCTTCGCTCTCTGCTGAAGGGGGCGACGTGATCGTCGCTGAAATGTCATTGGCGGTCAGCGATGATGCCCCGGCGCTTCTTGCGGGGATGCATGTCATCGGGGTTCTCAACCGCCCGGCGGAGGGCGCGGGGCCCGCGCGGGACCGCCGTCGCGAAGTCTCTCTCGCCAGATTTTATGGGGCCAAGAAAGTCAAGGACTTTCGTCCTATCGATGCCCTGTCTGTTGTGCATGAGCTCTACTCCAAGGTTCTGGGGCATTTATCAGGTTTACACATCGACGACCTTCGGGGTGTCAGTTTGCGCGCCGACGCCAGCATCAGGTCCGCGACATCGCGCCTTCCATTGGGTTGCTGGCGGAGCGGGCTGACGACTTTGGAGGGCCTCTCTCTTTGGGCGCGGGGGATTAAAGCAAAGCCTTCGACATGGTGGACCACGACATGCGGACGCGGAGCCGCGCCTCGCGGACTGATCCGCGCGCGATATCTTGCTGCGAGGATCAGGGAGGTACGCCGAGGCTTCTCGAGCATCTGCGCGCCTGGCTCGGATGCGACCGAGGGCATCCCGCGCGCCCGCTCGACGCCGCAGGGGGGCCCTGGGGCGCCGAGGGAATTCGCTTGGCATTTAGACGAAGCCGCGGCCATGTTCGCGGGAGCTCGTCGGAGAAACCGCCGGGGTCACCCTCTGGATGCCGGGGGCATTCGCCAATTTGGCCCCTCGAAGGCTCCAAACGACACTGAACAACGAAAGACCTTAGAGGATGCAAAAACGACCCCCGCTCGCTGCGTTTGCCGACGATTATTTTCTGTGCGCGACTCGCTCGCGATGTTCAATGCGCGGCGCGGGATAGTGAGGGGCTTGCGTTGCGTCGTGCCTGGGAAGGACTGTCGTGGGATGGCGACGGCGGCAGAGGATATTTCAGGCATTGCTTTGCTTTGGAGGAGGTGAGGTTGCCGAGGATTGCGAGGGCGGAGCGTTTCAGGTGTCTCGGGGCTTCGATGATCTCAATGGATCGCAGCGCGTCGACAGCCGCGCAGAGAATGATCTCGCGAGGCTGGGCGGCTGTCTCCATGGGCCGCGCCGCTTTGCGCGCCGAGCAGGGCGAGCTGGGGCGCCGACTGCAACTGTCAGAGAGCACGGTGAACATCGGGGCTGTTTTTTTGTGCCGGCAGCTTGGCGCGCGCCAGTCGCCAACCTCAGACGATCAGGGCCGCGCGCTGTCGCATGATTCGTTTGATGTTCAACCGCCGAAAGGCCCCCGAGGCCGCGGTGGCTTTCCAGCGGAGAGCACGTCGGGACATTCCATCCACAATTGACCGCTTCAGCGTGGAGTGGAAGGGGGCGCGCGACGACCGGGGGGGGTGGAGCGACGCGGCGGGGGACCGGGTTGACTGGGGGATGAACGAACGGGGCGCGCAGCAGGACAATAAGCATCGCATCCAAGAGGGCAAGTGGGTCCATGAGGCATAGAGCAGTTCGAGTTGCTATTTCTTCTTTCTCCCCCCCGATGGCAGTAGTTCCTGCGCTCTGCGCTTGCCTGCCCCTCCCCTGCGCGCCCCCCCTGTCTGATTTCCCCGGGGTCCCAGGCCCAGAGGCGCCGCGTTTCGGGGGGCTGCGTCCATCGATCTATGTCCTCCCCCGCCCCCGGGCTCAGATTCGGCGCGGTCCAGCGCGCGCCGCGCGTTCAGCGGCGGGCCGTGGCCCCGTTCGAGGGCGACTCCAGCTGCCCCCCGCGCGTCGGCGCCCGAGTCAATGGCGCTGCCGAGGCGGGCCGTTTCGCGCGCGAGGTTGGGCGGGGGCCGGGGGCGCAGACAGCCGGGGGCGAGGGGCGTCAGACTGCGCCGCTCGGGGGAAAATGACCGCGATGGAGGGCAGCGCGGAAATGGCCTCCGCGTTGGAGATGGCCACGGCGGAGGGCTTGGCGGCGCGGGGCCGCCGCTTAGCGCGACGGGGGGCGGCGGGGTCTCGCGCGCGACCGCGGGCGGCGAGGCGAACGACGTCGACGCGCGCGAGGTGGGCGACCGCGCTTGGGGTCGGGGCGGCGAGCTGATGGCGCGGACGGGCGCGTTTTTTGTTTTGCGCTCGCGTCGCGCGGTTGCCTGCGACGCCCCGCCCCCCCCTTGCCTCGCGCGGGATGTTGCGGATGAGGGGCCGCGCGCCGAGCCGCTCAGTTGCCTGCGAAGACCAGTTGAAAGCGCCCGCGCGTGGGCGCGTGGCTGAACTTCAACGCGATGCGCGTTTGCGTTGGTTTGGAGGAGTTCGACCTGGGCGATGGCAACTTTTCGAATATTGCGCGCCGCCATGGACGTCTCGTTTTCTCTGTCGACAGCGCGGCGGTCGACGGGGTTCTGGAGCGCTCGCTCTTCCAGGCGCGAGTCGCCGACGCCTGCTCCAAGCGCTGGAAGCGGGCGCGGCGCAGTTCGGGGAGCTATGGGCGGAGTTCGGCTCCGAGAAGGCGCAGCCCCGCAAGGGTTGGCGCAGGGCGTGGCCCAGCAGGGGCCGCGACAAAACGGCAGCCCTCCATGCACGGGGCCCTTGGTGCATTATTGAGCATGCGCGGCGCGCGGGTGAAGGGCGCGCGGGGGCGCCCCCCCTCCCACCTCCCTCGGCGCGCCGTCCTTCCCCCCCCCCGCTCGCGCAGTTGGCACTGTCGGCGACGGTGGTGGAAAGCAAGAATCTTCCCTCCCCCTCCATCCTGCACCCTCTTCCTGGCTCACTTCCTCTCCCCCTTTTCGATTTCCATACTGAAACACCCGGATGCTTCAAACCCTCGTCAATTTCGGGTTGGGGGTGCACGGGCTCCATCGCGTTTCTTCGATGTTCTGGAATGCCACCCCCCCGCCGGAAATTGACAAGCCCAACGGTGACTTCGTGTTGGATTGTGGTGTTTTGGTCGGTAGTCACACCCTCCCGTCTCCCAGTCTGGAACCTGCGCCATCGTCGCGTACCTGCCGTCGCGCCGTGGGAGCGACGCCCGCTCGGCCTCGCAAGTTGGCGTCGGGGCCCGCGGCGGTTGGCCCCGCGGCCCCGCAAGCTTGCAGTGCCATATCCCGCTGTTGGGAAGCAGTGGATGGCCCTCTTCCTCTTCGCTCCGCGCTCCTCCCACCCTTGGAAGAAATCGTCGTGAACATAAATGTTGACACTTTGCGCAGCCCCAACAGCCCATCCAGAGACGAGGCCCGGACGAATTGCCCTGATCAGAGACATGGACGAGCATACAGAGGAATTGTGGGATAGATAAGCCGCCGTACCCCAGATGGAGCGGATGGAATAAGAATCGGAGGCGGAGGAGGGGGAAAAGGAAAAGAGGCGGAGGAGGAGGAGGAGGACGACAAACGCCACAGCTTCACACTCAGGTTTGTCTAGCGTAAAAGGAGGGGAAGGAGGGGGAGGGGGGGACGAGGAGGAGGAGGAGGAGGAAAATGAGGAGGAGGAGGAGGAGGAGGAGGGAGGATGAGCACGTGGAGAGGAAGAGGATGAGGAGGAGGAGGAGGGGGAGGAGGAGGAGGGAGGAGGGAGGAGGAGGAGGGGGAGGGAGGAGGAGGAGGAGGAGGAGGAGGAGGAGGAGGAGGACGAGCAGGAGGAGTAAGAAGAGGGGGAGGCGTATATAGGGCAAGGTCTCGATGACTGAAAAAAACGGGGTTCAGCACAGGGCACGAGCAGGCGCCTGCTGACGGCCGAGTCAGCCACGGAGGCGTCGAAAGCCCCGCGGCGGGCCGCGGCCGCAGCGCTCTTTCCCCTCTCTCTCCGCCCCCCCCCGTTCCCTCCGCTCTTGGCACTCTCTGCCCCAAACGCAGCTCCCGGGCAGGAGGCCCTTGCCTATCCTGGATAGGTGTTGGCCTCCTGTTCGACTGAAGCTATGATTGCGCTCGCTGGCCAGCTCACGTAGCTGGTTCGTGCTATAGCACCCACGCACAGTGCAGACTAACACGTCTTTGTCGGGCCAAAAAAACACAGTTGGTGGGAACCATGCACCTCTCTCGAGCGGACACACACACACACACACACACGGCCCCTGTGGGCCGAAACGCCGCCCCCGTCCAGGACATCGGGCGGCACGGTGTCCCCAGGAAGGCAGTGAACCCACTCGCTTTGGCACGGCACCCACACTTTCGGCATTGACCAACATCGACCGAAAACTGCGGACAGGCGCGATCAGACTTGAAGGCAACCTCCCTAAGCAATTTGGCTCGAGAATTTCGCACACGAGCCTTGGGTGGCCTGGAAGGTCGGCGGCCCTCCCTCTCAAGCACGTCACTCGTGACACTAAGGAGGTGACTCTGGACCTTCCTTGTGCTAAGGGACCTGAGCATCCTCACAAACAAGACACCAACAATATGGTCTGCAATGGCGCTAGCCACGATGAAACTAGGATTGGGGCCACGCTCAAGAGTTTCCTTGACATCAAGGTGGCTCGGCACACGGACGAGAAAAACAAACCCTTGAAGCACAGCAGCTCACGCACGCGGCCCCACACATCGCGTTGGCTCGACACGCAGGCATCTACACGGGTGGCTAAATGAGAGCCCCCTCTAGCAACATAAGCCGGCTCCGCAATATAACCGAATTGGGATCCCTCAAGGCTCAGTTCTGAAAACTTCAGACGGGCCCAGAGTTCCCCGCGATTGGCACTTTGCTTACCCGAGGTGCTTCCTCCAGCAACAAGGGCAAGGCTCGACGCGGCTACCTGTGCGGGGGGCTCTTCTACAGTCAGCCCAAAAACCGCGACGCCCCAAAACGCCCGTCTAATCCTACGGTCCCGCGAAAACTCCCCCCCACTAGCATCCCCCGCGCCCCAGCTGCGACGCCCTTCCACCAGGGGGAAGGCACCTGACGCAGCGAAGAGAGGCGAATCGGGAGGAGGGGGAACGTTGGTCCAATACTTGGGCGTGAGGCCGCGGAACCAGAGAACAGGGCATTCGTTGGCAGCCGTGGCCCCTCCCTCGTCTAGCGAAGGCCTCAGAGATGTCCTGGGACTTTGAATCGCACGGACACTCCCAGAATCCATGAGCATCAGTCCCAGCCGCTACCCCACATCGTGGGCACAAAACATCGCATGACACCCCGCGTTGATGATGCGGGAGCGGGTCCAAACAGCACCTGTGATAATGACCCTCAACAGCCCCGCCTGCTTGGGGTCCTTTTTCCTCCAGCTGTTCGGGTGGCGGCGAGCCACAGCGAAATCAATGCCGCCCTCCGAGCCGAGAGCGCTGCGAAACGTGGGCGGTCCAGTCCACATGTGGGCTTCAGTTGAATTCGCAACTTCCTGCTTGTATTCTGAAGCCATCTAAGCCTCGGGACGGAGCTCGTCGGGAATCGCGAAAACATCGCCCGACGGCGCCGTCCAATGCCAAGGCCCCATCGAGACCCCACCCAGGACCCAGCATCGTGGCGATGACGGCCGAAATCGGCCCTCGGATGTTGTGCCACCGACGCCTGGGCCCCAGGTTCTGAATTATCATGGCAGTTTCCCTCCAGCTGCTGTGCGAGGGCCTGGTCCGAAACCCCGGACGCAATTTGGAGCCAGGAATCCTGAATCGAAAAGGCCGAGCTGAGAGCGGGACTTTCGGGCCCACCTTCAGAGCAAGAAGCGATGCGAGGCATCTCCCGACCGTGCCTCGCGACAGCGTGCTCGCTAGAGCTCGCCTCCGCAGCAGGAGAATGGCGGGCGCAACTCCGAACGCTATCCAAGCGTAGGAAGCCTGGGTGGGGGGGCCCGTGAGAACGAGCTTAGGCCCCACCTTGCGCGGGGCAGCTCGCGCCTGCTTCTGGATGCGAGACGCGCGCCGATGCGCCCGGGCGATGCGCCCGGCATGGCGAGGCCTGAAAATCTCCGCGCCGCTGCCGCGCTAGACGCCCACATCGGCGGCCACCGACGCAATTTCAACAACGACGCCGTTCGCGCCCAAACCAGCTTGGATTTCTTTGGCGACCGGCATGTCTGAAGCAATGATAGTTGACTTGGAAGCTATCCCCCCCCCCGCGCGCGCCCTCGCGCGAAGGCGGTTCCCGCGCGCGCGAGGTGGTCCACAACGTCGCGGCGAATCCCCTCCGCTCTCTGGGCCACGTCATCGATCCAGGTCCGCAATTGGATCGTGGGGCGGACAGTGCATCCGGCAGTTGACAAAGTCCGGTGCAGTTGGCAAAGTCCGGTGCCCTTCGGGCTTCCGCAGCAAGGCCCCCTGAAGGCAGATAGGGGGGGCCGCGCAGCCCGCGCCCCGCAGGGCTCGGGCCCACGTGCAGGAGGGCTTCTAAAATGAGGCACAGAGCAGGGCAATCCAAGTCCAGAGCGCGGGCGAGCGAATCGTGTCGTAGAAAGCTTCAACGCGGCACAAATTAGACGCATGACAGTGCTCAGGCAAAACCGACGAGAGAGCAGCCTCATCAGCGCGGCACCTGAGCAGAGCCCCCCGGAGAGCGCTACAGCCTCGAACTGCGGCGCCTCACGGGCCCGGGCAATCCTCGGCCCAGATCTCCGCAGGGCGAGATCTCAAACGACCCCGCAGACGGCCAAGCCAGGTGCGAAGGCCGATGGCGCGGCCCTTGCGCACGGCAGGCTTCCGCAACAGCGCAATGATGGCAGTGGGCCGTTGCCGTGGCCGCGCCGCGGCTAGCTCGATCTGCTGGAAAAGAGACAAGAGCTGCTGACGGCCTGCCTCGGGCAGCCGCCGCGCGTCTCGCTGTCGAACTCCGTCAATCCCTGCCGCCTTCGCCGCTGCAGAAATGGCTGCCAGGGCGGCCTCCAGGTTGTCCAGGGTGAGAGGCGGCAGCGATTCATGTCGAGCAAGCCCCCTGGCTTGGTGCAGCACTGACGCCGCATCGCTGGCGCGGAAATCCGACGGGGCCCACGACTGCATCCAGGTCGCCCGCTTGGCCTCCATCAGCGGCGCCCCATCGAGCGCGGCGCTGTCTGCGTGGCGGATCTCGCCGACCTCGGCCATCGGGTCCTCCGCGTGCCTGCGCGGGCCCCCCATGCCCTTGATGGCGTGCTGACGTGCCGAATCCTTGAAACCAGGCAACCTCTGCCGAACCACTGCTCGCCGGGCTTGATCAGCCGCCTGCCTGGCAGCCGACGCTATACTTCCAAGAGGCTCTCTGGCGATGCCGCCCAGCGTGCGCAAAGGACGAACCCGCCGCGGGCAAGGGGGCAATCTGGCATGCTGAGATCGCGGCTGCCGAAGAAGAGAGACGGCCCCTGAGATGTCGCGCTCGCGGCGAGCCCTCCTGGCCCGACTTCGCGCGCGACGACTCTGCTAGATGAGTGGCGACCGTTGACCACCAGCCAGCGCGAAGCGCTGTCCGAAGTTGTAGGCCAAGGCTTGCCACCGTCCATATCCCTCCTGTCTGGAGCCTGCAGGCGTTCTCGACCTTGGCACTGGCGACGCTCCTGGAGGTGCGCCCGAGGCAACTCGCATTGCTGCCGTTCCACGGTGCGCGGCCACTCACAAAACAATTCGCCCAGTCGTAGAGCCGCATCAGGATCCGCCTGAAACCCCGAGCTGCACTCGACAAGGTCCGGCGGCGCAGCTCGCCGCGCCACCTGCTCCGAAAGATTGCATCGCAACATATCCTGTGCCGAGCCTGACCAGGAGCTCTGAATGCGGGCAAAAGTGGTGATATCATCGGGCCAGGCAACATCCCCCACCTCTTGAATGGGCTACACGTAAGAGTGACCCTTGGCCAGAGTGACCCTTAGTGTTGGCCCTAATGGGGTCGGACAGATTTTCTTGAAGAGTGCGCTCGGTCTCGGGTCGGCGCGCGCTGCGCCATTTTGCGATCGCATCAGGGCGCGCTCGATTCAGGGTGCGCCCCTCGCTATCGATCGCAACGCACGCGCCGCGCATTGCCGCGTGCTTCGTTTGGCAAGGGGGGGCCCAGTCAAGCGGGCGACGTGCTTCCGCTTTGGGACCGGTCCCAAATCGTCTTGGAATAACTTTG